ATTTTTTATTTATTAATTTATATAACAAATTATAAAATTAATTTTTTAAATAAAAATATTATACAAATAATTTTAATTAAACAGTTGATGAAATTAATTTAATTTTTTTAATAATAAAAGAGAATGTTGCGGTGCAATAGTTTGTTTTTCTAGCAACCTCCGATAAGATTTCCTTGCAACAAAGAACAATATGCAATTAAATTCTATAATTTCGATACCAATTGAAAATAAACTTTATATTCAATTGAATAGATTGCGAGGAAATTCATTCAACATTTTAGTTGTGGGTCCCATGTTATAGAAAATTAATTTAATTTCCATTTGGCAGCCAAGTGAAAATTATTTAGATTAATTTTTTAAAAATAGTTAATAGTTGATAAATAATATATAATAATTGATAATTATTGATATTTATCATTTAAAATATTTAATTTATTTAATTAAAATTATTAATTAATAACCATTTTCAATAAATTAAAACAAATGCCTCTTTAATCTTTTAAGGTCGTTGATGCCAAGTTAGTACTCCCGTTAACTGGCGGTTGACAGAAGGACGCGTTTGGCCTCTCTACCAACATTCAGGCATTTTTATGAATTCCTTTTTGATATAGAGATGATAATAGGCCTTTTTAGTAAGTTTATGAATTTTTAAATGCTTTAAGCTTTTTTATTTTTATTTTTTGTATATTGTAGGGTTTGTGACTTATTAATACAAAAAGTTTGAAACTTTAGCTTTAATTTCACATTAAAATTTTAAATTAATGAATATTAATTCTGTCAAATTTTTGTTGATAAGGTTTAAGTCATTAATTGAATGACATTAGTGACATCGCACTAATGACGTTCATTTCACGATTAAGCCTAGACGGCTTGGATTTGTAAATTAATTTGTTTTACTTTAAAAAAAATTTGACACGAGGGACCCACACCCACATCTCAAGCCCAAACTTACAATTTTTTGATTATAGAAAAGTATATTTTTGGTTATAAGTAGATTTTTGCCTTTTCACTTCAATATATGTTTCGAAAATCAGTTTCGGACTTGCACTTAGTGGTCTTAATAAGAAGTTAATTTAGACGTCATTTAATATAGTGGTTTTTAGTTTTTTATTTTTTATTTTTGCTTTTGTTGCAAAATTTTAAACAATTAAAATTAGGAATTAAAAATTAAAAATATAAACTTGAACATTTTTACAATTAATATTCAAATTTTAATTAATTTATAAAACATGCTAATTTTATTCTATGATTTTTAAAAATCAAAACAAAAAACAAAAACTAAAAATCATAATCATACTAAATGAAGTCTTATTAATCCAAGTGTCAGATTTTAAAAGCAAGGCACCAAACTGTTATTACAGACAATGTTCAGGCCATTTCGTTCTTTTAATTCTTTCTTCTTCTTTTTTTTCTTCTTCTGTGCTACCAAGGATTGAATGTGTTTTTCTGATTGCACTTTATGCCTTCATTAATTTGTGTCTACTGAATCCAATTATTTACATCAATTCGTTCCTTTGCCTCTTTATGCAGATATTCTTTAATTACTCTTGCCAAAGGTAATTCTCTTTATTCTTTAGCATTTTTTGGGTACAAAAGGTCAGAGTTAAAGGCAAGAAAAATCAGCGAATTTTTGAGAGTTTAGCAAAGAATATCCAAAATTTTAAAAAATTTTTAATAGCGAATAAAACCTTAAACTTGTGGAAAATTAATGATTTCTTTCGTAGTCTTATGTACAATTCACTTTATCTCCATTGAAACCTTTCATTTTTGGTTAATGTTTATCGCGTTAACGTAGAAAGAATTTTTGAGTGATTCAATTTATATCCTTTGACTTCGGGTTAACATTTGGGATCAACGTGGTGTCCGGCGACTTCTGAATAATCTTTTCTCAATCAACCGTCAATCACTTGCAAATCTAAGGCACGGGTCAAGTCCTTTCGAAACAAATCAAAATTTCTATTTTCTAGGTTCTGATTCTAATAAAATTCAAAATTTCTAGAAAATCTATTTGGGATTTTTTTTTTCTCTTTTTGTAATATATTTGATAGAATTTGTAATATATTCATATTTGTAATCAAAATTTTGTCTTGCCTGAGCAGGAGGAATTTTTTGGTATGAATTTTGGTGATTTAGCTATATGGTTTCTGTATACACCATAAATTATAAATATATTGTTAATGATGTCATGTGTCACATTATTTGAACAAATAGTTATAATAAGTCATGTCAGACCCGATACTACTGTAATTTAGAGTATGACAGACTTTGCTAATGGTTGCCACAAGTTCAGCAAGATTTGGAGTTTTTGGTAATTATATTCTAAGATTTTGGCGTCATTTGATGTTAAATGAAGGTAACGGCTAAATTTTAGGGAAAGTTGTCGCCCAAGTTCAATAAGTAGGTAAAGTGGTAGATAGATGGTGAGTTTTGGAGAGAGTTTTGACTAAGTATGTTGTTGGGTTGTCCAACTAACCCAAAAAGTCTATCACATTTTGCTCGAATGGGAGTGGGTGGTTATCATTTATCTTAAAACATATAAAAGAGAAAATTCAGAGCAAGCATGACATGATCAGCCTTACACATAACTCAACAAATTCAATATTTTAGTTTTCAAGCTACTGTTCAACACAGTTCACATACCTTAGTTTTAGCATGACTTCCAATCAAATTTAAATTAATTCAAGCTTCTATAGCAATCTCTTTGTTTATTTAGTGATATTTAGATAAGTGTCATCTTTTCAAATATCAACTTATATGGCTTTCACAATTCTCATACATGTTCAAGTTAATTTCAATCTTGTTGGCCTAAATATCAAGATTAGTTAGCTCTAGTCTAGTTTCAAGCCCATATAATTTTCCAATTCTACAATAACTTAGTTTAACCTGCCAGTAGTTCATTAGTCTAATCTATAGATGAAAGCTTGTTTAGTTTATGTTTCATTTGTTTTATTTTGGATCTTGCCTATTTAGGATGAGAAGAAGGAGATTAAAACTCTTCCCACCACAACTTCTATGACATTTATTGGACATTGGATCTTTCCCACCTCAACTTGGTGTAAAGATACTTTCTCTATGAAGAATTATTACTTTGTGCTCTCACTCAATCATGCTTCAGGTACTCTCTGCCTTGGTGCTCCACTGAGGAACTTGAAGGTTCAAGCATTTTTATGGAAGCAGCTGTGAAATGGATTTTAAAGACTAATCATCTTCTTCCACATTGCCTTGATCTTAAGGGGTTGGTTTTATACTACTTGTATTTCAGCTTTAATCGGTGATCTTCTTCGCCTGGAGTCCTCCCTCTTCTCATGTTATGAAAGTTGTACTTGCAGGACCCAGCGTTCTTCTTTTGCTTGGATCTCTATTCTAGACACCTGCTGCAGAAAATATATTTCTAGCTGCTGAATGCTTCGTCAATGAACTGTTTTTGACGCACGGTGATCATCTAAAGAGCATCTGCTACTTATTCTGTCCTTAGGCCGAGTTCTATGCTTCTTCATGTTGCTTGCTTGCTTTTATATGTTTTTTTTTCATTGATACGTTTTCCCATGTGTGCGTAGTGATGATGATTGACTTTTTTTTTTTTTTTTTGAATTAAAGAAAGTTTTACCACTCCAGTATTACTTGACTCAAATAAAAACATTCGTACAGCACCTCTTACATAGAGCATGGCTTTAGATCAGATGAGTAAAAAGGAGTCTTTAGAGATAAAACAAATTGTTTCATTTTGTGCCATTCTGTACTAACTTTCTTCTCCTCCTCTTCAGCAGCTTTCGTCTTTGCTTCATATTCTGGCCACTGTTTTTCTAACACATCAAGTTCAGCTTTCAGGTCCCTGGAAAGTTCAAACATTTCTTTCTGCTCGGATAAGAGATTGTCTTTCTTCTTCGGAGCCTCCTCAATTTGGGCAAGAAGGACCTTAGCTTGCAACTGAAGGGTGGCAATGCTCCGTTCCTGCTGCTTGGTCTCTTCCTTAGCCTTTCTAAACTCAATTAGACACCTCTCCAGTTTGCGACCAAGTGTCACCTTAACAAATTCCTTGTTTGTACACATAATCTTGTCCTTTGTTGCTGTGGCTGCTCTCTCAGGCAAGTCACTAAATTTTTCCTTCATAGTTAGTAATTCTGCTTTTTGCTCAACCGTAAGTATATAGTAATCATCAAGAAAAGATTAAACATCAAATGCATTTCTTATTTTAGAAATTCTCCCTGGATCACTTAAGGTAGTTGGATAGGTGTTCTCTATCAGTGTCAGAGCTTCTTCTACTTCTTCTTTTGACGAAATATTTTTACTACTAGAAATCCTTGCGAAGAATGCATTCATATTTTCTTGACTTGGGTCTTCTTTAGCTACATTACTGGTATCTTTGCTTGAGCGCTGTGATTCACCAGCTACATCTTCGAATACTGTAACATCAGCCTCAATTATGCATGTGTCTTCCACCAAATAACCCTTTCCAAGATCACGCAATTCCTTGTGAGGGATGAATTTATCGAATCCCCAATAAAAATCGTCTGCATTAAATTTATGCTCTGAAGCTGCAGAGAACCAATAGGACCAATCATCAACAACCATTCGAACAAAATGTGTGTTTGTAAAAAGATTGATGTGAGTTTTAATTCTTGGAACGGCTAAGGATTTGATGGTTATGTTTAGGAAGTAATTTGCCAAAGGTAAAAGTAAATAGTTGGTCAAAAGAGTGGTACTTGTAGAAACGAGTGGGTTGGCGACTCGCGAGTGAACAAAAAGGGGAAAAAAACCTTCCTATCAAGAGCTGACTCAATTAGTTAAGAGTGAAGGATTCTATTTTAAGTTTTGTTTAGGAGTGCTATATTGAGCTACACTATAACTAATTTATAGGTCCTCTTCGTCTTTTATTATTTTAAAAACATATAAAATTTTAATTTAATTAGTAAAAATATATAAAAATTAAATAGAAAATGAATTTATATAGAATTCATTGGAAGCTTATTTGTAAATAAATTATTATGTTTGGCATAATAATGAAATTATAGAACTCAATTGAATTTTGCATGCATTTTTGTTTGAAAGAAATATAGAATTGTGTTAAACATTAAATTCATCATAAATACCTTTATTCTTTGTGAAGGAGAGCTAAAAGAGCTTTAACTGAAGGGTATTTTAATAACTTAAATGCTTGCCTTATTTATCAGTGTGGAATTCATTTCCAAATTCGATCAAAATATATAAATTTGAATTACATTGAACTAATTTCATGATTTAAAGCTTAGAATTGCATTTCATATTTTTTTAAAAATCAAAGAAAGAAATGTAGACGTAAAAAATAATAAAAAAAAGTAAAATTATAAATAAATTGCACAAATTTTTTAATTAAACCAAGCACAAGAGTTGTTTAAAATTCAAATCATAAAATTAAAATCAAAATTTTTTTCATCAAATCAAACATTACCATTTGTAATCTCAGAGGGAGAATTCCTCCGAGAAGAGCCAACGCACACCAAGCTTCGAGAAATTCTTTATTTTCCATGTAAACTTTATCGTACCCACTGCACTTCCGCAAACGTAAAAGGGTAGTCTGCATTAGAGTTATGGATATTCAATTTCAGAAATGTTTGACTTCAATTTCATTTGGAATTTCGAAATTAAACAAAGAAACCAAAATGTCGGTTGAAGAACAGCATTTGTAAACATTTTAATTTAATATATTACATAATATATTTATTAAAAAATTATTTTTTAGTTTAAAATTAAAGGTAAATAAATTTAAAAATACAATTATACATATATGATGCAGTAACTAATTAAATCATCTATATTTATATTATATTTTTAATAGTTAAACTAGGCTAATATTAAAAAGTTTGTTGAACCAAATGCATGTCAATCCTTTTCCTAATTGTAATATGACATTATAAATTAATAATGGATTTTTTTAACTTGTGCCTTAGGAGCACAGCACAAGTTAAGAGTATATTAATTATATAATTTTACAATTAATTTACATAAAAAAATAAAAGTTGATTTTAAATTTATCAATTATTCAATTAAAAAATTAATCATCCTCATAGCACCTATGTTTAAAATAATGTTTATTTTTATTTTTTTATAAAAACTTATTGCATTAGAAAAATCAATTTATAATTATTACGTGATATTATATGATTGTTTTTTATTTAAAAATTCACTTATAATATTATATCTATATATTTATATAATAATATGTAATGATTATAAATTTATAATTTTATATGATATTATAATTATGTCATTGTCATAATATAGTAATAAATAGAATTTTGAAAAGAAAACTCATTATGCACGAGTAATGATTTTCTCTCTATTTTAAAATAATAATTATTTTTCAATTTTTTTAAATTAAAGATTTGAGAACAATATATGTATTGACCTATATTACTCTCACAAAGAAATAAAAGACTTTTTATGATAAAATGATTGATTAAAGTAAATAAACAATGATATAATTAAAATAAAAAATATTTATATGCATTAAAAATAAAATAATAATTAATTTATAACAAATTCAAAAATAAAAAAAATTATTTTGGAAATAGAAAGTGTATAACTAAATGTTAAGACAAAAATTTTACATCTATTGACTATGTGGGTCCACCACATGATCAATGACTACAAAAAAATTGGCCTTAAAATTCGTCCAAAAGTTTGATCTACCACATCGTTTCCTGTTCACATATATGGCAACTATAATTAGCAACTGCAGCGACAACATCATACAAAAAGGTTAAGTTGAATTACCTTCCATCGCTCAAGAATCTGTTGATCGAAAAAATGTGGGAAAAGAACAATCTTCTTTTCTTTTGAAGAAAAGAAATGATTGTGAACGAAGGGAAATTTCTGGGTAATTTAGACTTAAGAAAGATATTACTCTCCTGTAGAATGTTGTCTGTGAACAATCTGCTTTGAACAATCTTCTTTTCTTTTCCGATCGAGAAAGAAAAGAAATGACAAGGGAAGGAATAGACAATTTGGTGGGTATTTTAAAGGGTAAAAAGTAATGGACATTCCTGTACTATAGAATTTTGTTTATTACCGTCTTTATACTTTAAAATTATATGTTTGATTCCTCTTTGTACAGTTATTCTCTCCATCTCCAAAAATATTAAACTTTAGTGAATAGGCCAAGCACGGTCCTTATGTTAATTGTCAGTTAATAAGGAAGCTGACTGGACACAAAAGGTAGCTAACGTGATGCTAGAAAAGTTAAAATCATTGACATGGAATTTAAAATCGAAAAATTGTTTTTAAGTAGGATTGTATGTAGTTTATTTTATAAAATTATTTAAATACCTTTAATTTTTATTTTATGTTATTTCATTCAAGGTATTTAAGTAATGTTATATGATAGACCGCATATAATCCATCCAAAAAAATAGTTTATCATTTAAAATACTTTTTTATACTATACATAATAATAAGGATGAAAGGGGAAATAAGTGTTTTTTTTTTTTTTTTTTTTTCTTTTTTTGGTACAAAGAAATGATATATCAGTTAATGCAAAAGATATGAATGTTCTATATATGTGTGCCTCAACAGAAAACAAAATTATGGTGTGTTGGGTATATAAACGAATTAAAATTCATTTAATTTCTATAAAACAATTATTAGTGAATTATCAAGTTTTGAAATTTTTTATTATGCTTGGTTTAAATAAAAATATAATTTTTATTTCATGTTAGAAAATGAATTTATATAGGATGCGTTTGGAAGCTTATTTGTAAGTGAATTGTAATGTTCGGAATAATCATTAAAGTATAGAACTCAATAAAATTTTGCAAGCATTTTGGAAATAAATATAGAATTGTGTTAAATATTAAATTCGTCTTAAATGCCTTTATTATTTGTGAAAGAGGGTTAAAAGAGCTTTAATTGAAGAGATATTTTAATAATTTAGATGCTTGTCTTATTTATTAGTGTGGAATTCATTTCCAAATTCAATCAAAATAATAAAAATATATAAATTTGAATTACATTGATCTATGTGGCCAAAAAAAAAAA